CTCACAAATTTTATGTTACTCAAGATCAAAGTACTTAATGAATTGGAATTAGAAACATTGCAAATAATAATTGAATGGTACAAAAAAAGAGGCACTTAATGATAATCTTTGAAAACACCCTAGCAACAACCAGTTAGATGCCATCTTGTATAGCATAATGCACAACACTTAAGCTATTAATAATGCCTGTATGCCTAGCACACCCCATAATCCAATTGCCATTATGATTCCTAAAGATCCCTCCTGCAACAGCAAGTTAGGGTATGCCTAAAGCAGCACCATCAATATTAACAAAATTAGCAAAATTTGGAAGTGATTTATTCCAGCAAAACAGGACATGTTGCCTATTAGATGCCCTAGACTGAATAGGAAAAACCAACCAAAATTCAATAGTTTTATCAATAATAAAAGGAAACCATTTAGAATCTTGAAAATTAGAATCCTGAAAATTAGAATCCCTACAACTCGCCATTACTCTATAACCAAACTCCCCAAATAGCAAATGAAAACAAAGCAGGCCAAGAAATTTTGAAAATACAGGAATCATCCATGCATTTAGAGCTTGCTCTTAACCAACTAATAAAAGAAATAGCAGAATGCTTAGGTAATCACACTAGGGATGACTTTGTTTTAAATGTTGAGTATGAATATGTTAATTGTTAAAATGGAGAGTTTTTCAAGTCTTAAAGCAAGGAGTTCTCTGGTATAAAAGTTAAGTTTCTTAAATAATTAAAGAGCTTCTTCCAATTAAAATCTCAAATTGAAACCTATCTACCAACATATTAAGGAGTGCCATTACTAAATTGGAATTTATTTAAAACTTATTAAAAATTTAACAAAATAAATCTAGACCATTGGATATTATACAAATAAGAAAAAAATATTATTCTAAGAGGAAGCAATACCAAAAAACTGAAAGTAGTTTTCTCAATAACCATACATAATATCAATTAGTATAAAACAACTCATAAAGTAGCATAAAAGCATCCTATGAATGGCTTCTTTAATTAAGACTCCAAAGTGCTAAACCATATACACTGCTAATAAGTAGATAGATACATAATCAGAAATAAAAAGGAACATAGAAGAGAAGAAACCTTTGAGAGAAGTTTTTTCAACAAATTTTGAACCCATTTTGTTGGATAAATGACCATAGTTAGAAGAAATTTGTTTTGACTTCTCAATCATGTTATTTGTATTACTTTTAATTTCCTTTGCTACATAAGAAATATGGAAATGGAATCGATCTATCAGGCATAAGTATTCCATAATATTTTGCCACCTTGCCCCTAGAAATAAAAAGCAAAAAAGGAGGGGGTCATGTGCTGCCTTTGGACTCAAGGAGTAAGAGCTTTTCACTACAATGAATTTTAGAACAAATTAAATGCATTCAAATGGTAAGAGTGAAGCCTTAAAAGTTATTACATGAAGTTGGTGATATCTAACCAATTCTTAAAGAAAAAGTCAAACATGCTTAGAATGAAAGTTTTATGTAGCAGAATTTCTTATACACAATTGAAGGCATCAGCCAATATATTTTAAAATTCAACAGGACACACACACACACATACATGTATACATACACATAATGAGAATCTATATACACACATACAATATTAACAAAAATAATAATGAGAATCAAAATAAGAATTCACTTACACAAAATAAGGTACTCTTATTTGGATACACATGGGACCAAAGAGTAAATGGTGGTGATAAGAGGCATCAACTTGCCTTACTCCACATTTGAAAACATCAAGAATCATCATCCAGGAATAGGTGAAGATTAGGCACCGACATAAACTTGTGTGTCCTTGGCAATTCCTCATTCTTTCTTTTATCAAACCATATCATAAATATAAGGAACTAATCAAATTGAGGAGTAATAAAAATAAGTACAAAATTTGAGGGGAGAAAAAGGTTGTCATAGACATTACATCTTTAAAAGGCTTCATGCTTAACAAAAATCAATCCCCTCGATAAAATCTTCCCATCTTTTAAGAAAAAAACCAATAGAACCCCCAAGATAATTGAAAAGAAACCCCTTTTCCCTAAAAATCCACACCAAATTCTCACCTTCCTCCTTGTTTATAGTTCCATTTCAATAAAAAATTTAGCTAAATTACTTGACCCAAGAGCATTTGAACTGTTAAACTCTCAAACGCATAAGGCAAAACCCTACTAAAATAGTAGATTATAGAGCAAAATGGAAACACTCTCCAATTTTTAACTCTTTTTATAGCTGTCCCTCCTAAAACCCAAACCTCCTCCAAAATACTCCTTATCTACTGGCTAAATTAATTACATCTTTTAGGGAAGTACTCTGACCCAAGAAAAAGGATGGGAAAATTCAACAAATCATGTAGGAAAAAGAAAAGAAAAATAAATAATGATAAAAGAAGCTTGAATGAAGTCAACATGACTTTCTTTCTTCTTCTTCTTCTTCTTCTTTTTCGTTTTCTTTTTGGGTGAGAAGGCTTTCTTGGAATTGATACTCCTATAATCAATTTGGCCTTAAAGTCACGTCATTCTCTACCCCTGATGCATAACAAATTAAATGATCTACTATTATCTACTTTTCTGTCCTTAAAAATAGAGCACATTCTCAACACTTTTGAATGCAAATTAATTCAAGAGCTACTTAAATATCAAGATAGAAATCTCAAACACAAGCTCTATAATTAATCAAAGGCAACTCTAATCCTTTCCTCCAAAAGATCTTCCTACACCCAGTATTCTTCAAAAGAAAGAAACAAAAATGCAACAAATACCCAAAGAAATGCAGAAAAGACAAAATAAATGTCTAAAGCAATGTAGTTAGAACCACTTTCTAAGACATAAACTACAGCAAGCAATGCACACATAATACAACCCTATAAACAGTAAAAGGACTTTGACACAAGAGTTAAGATCCCCCATTACCTTGTCAACATATTACTGTATTGTAACGAAACCCAAAGTTTCCTTCTTAAATGCGATCTCATGAATCTAAACAAAAAAAAAAGAAGAAGTTATATTAGAACCTCTATAATTATGCTTTTTGATTAGAGAAGCAATAAGAAAAAAGTTCCAATTTGGACAAAATAATTAAATATAAGAAATAAAAGAGAATGAAATCCATACCTATATGTTAAAATTTTAGAAATTGGCAAACATAACAAAATGAATTTCAAATATACTCAAAAACAAAAGCAAATCAAGTCTTATTATATGTATAGATTTCTAAAGCCAACATGTCTACCAATTTAACTATTAATTATTAGTAAAAGTTAGTAAAAGGCTATTACATTAGATGTAGGATTATGCCTTTGATATAGTCCATCAAAATTGATGGGCAATAGTTCTGAAGAGGTGAGATGAATCCTATAAAGCTTATCTGTGTAAAAGACCTTTACTGTTAAAGAGAGCCAAAAATAAAAAAAATAAAAAAAAAGAACCCACTAATTTGGAGACAGATTAAGTTTTTTCTAGGTAACAACATAAGGTTGTGATCAACACATACTATATGTGTTATAAGTGTCATACACATATTGATCACATTTATTGATGCACGTTAGTAGAAAAAACCTCACTGAGTCTTTTGTACAACTTCTGTAACGTTTTAAGAGCATACTTCTTTTGGTAGGTTAACCAAAATTTTTTTCTAGGTTACATTAAAGAGTAATAAAATAAAATCCAAGGAAGAACATACCTGGGCTTGCAACTGAAGTGATTTAAGGAACTCAATGGATTCATTCAGCAGCAAAGCCTTGTTTGACTAAAAAGAGCAAAATACATAATTGAGAACATGAATCCTTAGTGCTACTTAATAACAAAAAGGTAGAAAGAAATTAATGGACAGAGAAATAATATACTATTTCAATCAATTCCTTCATAAACAGATGAAAAACTACCATTTTAACATTAAACAGAACCATCAAGAAAAAGTTTGACTATTTTATACCTAAATATTGAAATCCACATGGACCAAAGTTCAAATATGCTCGAAGAAACACTGAAATAAAGCTTTAAGAGAATTGCTCAACTGCAAATCGGTCAACAAAACAAAATTTTCTATATAAAATTGGTATAATAGAAGGTATCTCACAATGACCAACAAATCTTTTCAACACAGTGTGTAGTTAAGTCAGGCATTGAGAGAATCTTCAATAGAATTTGAAATGGAAACAGTGAAAAACAAAAAGGGAAGGCCATCTCTAAAATTGACAGGCCATCGAAAACAAATTGCGAAGATGCTAGTAGGGAAGTGATGACGATTTGACAGTTGCAATCGACGGCCAAGTGTGGAGGGAGTGAGTGAGGGGGCCAAGGTTGCTAACGAAGATTCAGTGCTTAGTGAACTGATGGGAAAGTTTATGATTAAAATTTGACTATTAAAAAAATTAACACGTAAAAAAAGAAATAAATGAAGTTACTGAGTTTTGAGATGAAATGAAAGTGATGAAGCAAGACCCAGGAAGCAAGAACACATCTCTGCTGAAGATCGCCGGTATCAAATTGGAATCTTGTCGATGTTGATTAGAAATGGGAAAAAACTAAAACAATAAAAAAGAAATTGATGGATTTGAATAGATCTGATGGAATTGAGTAATGCTTAGATGAAGCATTGTGATCGGGATTTAGAAGATGATTAGGTGAATGAACAAA